ATATTCTATACACAAAGTTCCTTGATATTTTTTCCTTTTTTTGTATCCCTACTTCTAAATGAATAAGTTTATCCACATATTTCAATTGATTTGTAAAGATGTAAATGTTGTATAACATTTGTACTGATAATAATTAAACTTGAAAATAAAATGAATTCCTTGTTTCTTTGTGGTGAATTTATACAATAAAATATGTTTGCATGCCAAAACAAAAAATATATTGATAAAGCATAACTTGTTTATTACGAGATCTTGGAATTTCGATTAACAAGAAAATTTTTAATTATTGATTGGATTAATGTTAAAAAGATAATGATAAAATAAATATACTAATAATGTCGAACTTGTTTATAACAAGATATTGGATTCCTGATTAACAAGATCCTCGGTTTAACTAGAATATTTTTAATAAATTATTGGTTTAATGTGAAAAAGATAATGATAAAATAAATACACTGACAAAGTCGAATTTGTATACAAGACTATCCTGGGTTTAAAAAGAAAAATTTAATTTAACACATTAAATGCCATGGGGGTCACCAGCACTGAATTTGTTCATAACACCATGGGGGTCCCCGGTGAAGCCGAGATTATTAGAAACACATAATTCAAGTACATTTTTAAGGCTTCTAATTTTTTTTACATTATCATTACTAAAATGGTTTGAAAAAATTAATGCAATACATACTGAGAAAATCATTTTGGCCAGACAGGCAAGCCATGTAAAATTAGTGTGGCATTCAACATGTTAAAAAAAAAAAAAAATTCATACAAGATTTAATGTTAAAAAGCTTATATGAAACCTTTACATTATGAGCATCGGATTGCGTGCAGAATTTTTACTAAGCTTCTTGAAAATTACTTTACTGAAACAGTCAGAAAAAAAGTATTTGCTAGGGGTTTATAAGTTATAATAATAAAGAATGTGTAGTTCCTAACACGCCTTTTGTTGAATCGCAGGAATACATAATAAGATTCTATACTTATGTTTTTTTGTAAATGTTCCTGATCAACTATTTATAAAAGGCACTTTTAAGTGATTTGTTTTAATTTTAAAGTGCCAAATTTTTTTATTTTTTATAAAAAAAAGCTGAGAGAAATGATTGAAATTTTAGTCAACCTATCTTTAAAGATTTAAAATCAAAAATATAAAGAGTCGTAGAAGCTAATAATGAATCAAAAACTTTTAACAGATATTTTGTTTTTTTCTCATTTTGATTGGAATAGAAAATTCAGAGGGTTTGAAAAAATATATAAAAGATTAAAACAATATTTAAAAAAAATATTTTTGATTGTATAATATTTTATTAGTTGAGTTATTAAAAATTTTTTAGTTTAGTTTATTGGAAAATAAATGTAAAGACATTAAGCAACATACCTTTACCATTTGTTCAAACAGAAATAGACATAACCTTTTATTTTTGGACTCATTAGTTTAATTGATTTGGTTTAAGTTCGAATTTTTAATTAAAAATTTTAAAGAAAATTATGGGAAAACAAATGCAATTTTAAATTAAATATAATATCTATATCCAAAAATAAACATAAAAGTTAAAAAAGAAACTATATCTCTGATAAAGATATATTTGATTTTATGTCTGGTTGATTATGAATTACTTCCAAAATGAGGAGTTGATACTTTTTATTACCTGTACATACATACATACATTATCGCCTCTAAACACACATACATTATCACATGTTTAATAAACATTACGTAAAATAATTGTGAATAATTTATTTTAGCTCTATGAACAAATACACATTTCAAATGAAATAAATAAAATACATGAAATGAATACATCATTTGATAAATATCACAGATTAGACATGTACAGTTATTAATACTTTGTCATCAAAAAGTAACAAAAAACTTTTTTCTCATTATTTGATGAAAGAAATGCACATCTATAATTTTCTATTACCTTTCCAATGTAGGAAATATATAAATATTCATAACAAGTAAAAATGAAATTTGTAACAAATTGATTAAAAACAGTTGCAAATTTCTATTTAAAGCATAGTTTTGAAAATAATGTAATTTAAAAAAAAATATATATAACACAGTATAAGCTTCTTTTATATTCTCTGTTTTTAAATAATTTTTCATTAGTTTGCAGATAAAATATCAAAAACTTACGATTTAAATTTAAAAACAATGATTTTTAAACCATCAAAGAAAGTAATAAAAAGTAGACGAACATTTTAAAAATTAATGCTTTTCTTTAAGATTCCCTAGAAACAGATAAATGATTTTACTTTTTCCATGGCAATTTACGAAGAATTATTTGACTGGAATTTCCTTACTTATTTAGTAACTAATCAGTTTTTTTTAATAATATTTGTTTAATTTTATTCATTAAAATTTGTTTCATTGAACTAAGGTACCGAATTTTATAAAAATACATAATAACATCAAAATTTGGGAACTAAGTTCAATAGATCGCATTTCATTGAATAAAATGCAACTAAATTTATTCAAAAACATTAATTAGTAATTGAATAAAAAAAATTAATAAATTCTGGATGTTTAATTCTATGTAGGTTAACATGGAGGAGGTCTGTTTCTCACAAGGCCTAAAAATATGCTAATAGGAACTGCCTTTAGGTAGATTTTTCTTCTTCTTTTTTTTTAAAAGTCAAATTTGCACTATTTTTTGAGTTGATACAAAAAATAATCATGTGAGGTTCTAGGATAATTCTCAGCTTTTTAAAATTTTTTTTTTATTACAACAATTGTCTTAAAGCAGCCTAGGAGAATTGGCATTTAAAAAAAAGAAAAAAAAGAGTTTTTTTTCTTTCTTTTCTGTCACAGACTTGTTTTCAGGCCACGGGTAAATTGAGAGTAAGTTATTCTCGGGATTGTCTCTCGGAGGTTTAAGCGACAATTTGAAACATTTAAAAACTTGCTATGTTCTGATTCTAAATGCCTTTGTATAAGCTGATATTTAATCTAAAAATAAGTATTGTAAAGAGAATTTAGACATTTAATGATTTCTCATATTCAATCAAGTATCTCTTTCAGTAAGCTGTATAATTATGATTAAATGTTTATCTCCTGTTAATATTTATATGAAAAAAAACTTTTTATTGAACAGAGCGATATGATTAAGAATATACGAAACATCCAGTAAACATAATAAATTCATACAATTTGTATTGTAATACTAACCAGCAATGTACAAAGATTAAAAGAAGGGAGACAAAAAAATTTAAAACACTACTAAAAATTGATTCTCTGTACAAGCATAAAATAAATTATAAATTTCACTGCTCTTTTTATTGAAATTGTAATTTAAATTGAAAACTAATGAATAGTATCAGAGCATTAAGTACAGATCATTTTTACATTTTATAACCTATTTTTCTTTGATTTGAAATAAAAAAAAGTGTATATTAATTATAGTTCATTTTTTAATTCTACATTTAGGGAAGGCTGATAAATTATTCACAGTAGATTGAATCAAATGTAAATAAAATGTTAAAATAAAATAATGTTTTGAAACAAGTGATATTATTTTGATAACAAACAAGTGATTTACGCATTGAGTACCATGTCAGTCACCGGTGTAAAATATGACAGATTAAAACATGATACAAAACTAAAAAATGGCATTGTTTTAAGCAATAATTGAAAATTTATTTAAAATTTCCACAATTTTTATTTATTTTAATTTCTTTGTAGTGCACTTTTCATTGTTTTACCAGAATACAAGTGCTTCTAAGCAGTGTGCTTGGCCTGACAGGAATTAATTAAAAAATATACACAAATCGATTAAAAACAGTTGCAAATGTGTTTTTCAATCAATTTGTGTATATTTTTTCAACCAATTTGTGTATTTGTGTAACCCATTAACACTCAAAGAGTTAATGGGTTGAATTGGTTTTAATATATATATATTTTTTTGATAATAAAATCCACGTAATAGGATTTCAATTAACTCAATTTATTGCTACTCTATTTTATTATTTTTTTTAAAAATTACGATTACTTAACAAGAACATACAAAGATTAAAACCGAGCTTTCATTCTCACAATACACATTTTTGATATAATATGATTTTTTAAGTTTCTTTAAAAAAAAATTAGCACCTAAACAGGACATACTACATAATAAATATTATTTTTCAAGTCATTTGTAAAAGTGTGAATTAGTTAAAAGCATGGAATAATGAGTATTATGCAAACACTCATTTTTATACTTAAAACAAAAAAGGAATAAATATTTAACAAGTATACACAACATTGACATATGAAGTTTCATAATGAATAACAGGAGAGAAAAACAAGAGCCGGATTATTTACTTTCCATTCCAATGCTAAAATAATATAAACTTACTAAAAATTTTGACTTTTAAAATTGAAACCTATAATTTTTATTTTTTTTAAAAAGTTAGATTAAAAAAAAAAAATCAATGAGTAGAATTTAAGGAGGAAATAAACATGCTAAAGTAAAGTATAAATCACAACAAAGAGGGGGAGTTTTCTTTACAATCTTATCTTAATCTTTAAGGGTATTCTCTTTACAATCTTTTTTGAAGAAAGGATACATTAGAATAAAAATATCAAATAAATTTACAAAATCTCTGTAAAATTCTATATGCTCCCGTAAAATAAGCAATGAACTTAGAAAATAATAAACTTTAATTGAAATAATATAGAATTAGTAATTGTAATAAATATATAACATTTCATTAATGAACAGTGTACTGAATTTCAATATGTACTCACAATATTTTACCCGTCATAAATATAGGAACTTCTTTTTTTTTTTTTATAATGAAAAATCTTTTTTTTTTATACATATTTCTATGCTTACTTTTTCAAGTTCATTTATAAAATTACAACAATTATTCAGAGATTCTATTCAAACATATCTAATAAATTTGACCAGAAAATTTCAGATATTACTTTTAATTTTGACATGATTATGAAGTAGTAGTATTTTCATCAATTTGATACATCAACTTTATAAAAGTTNAAAAATCTTTTTTTTATATACATATTTCTATGCTTACTTTTTCAAGTTCATTTATCAAATTACAACAATTATTCAGAGATTCTATTCAAACATATCTAATAAATTTGACCAGAAAATTTCAGATATTACTTTTAATTTTGACATGATTATGAAGTAGTAGTATTTTCATCAATTTGATACATCAACTTTATAAAAGTTTTAGTTGACACAATAATAATATGCAATAAACTTAATTAATAAACAACAAAAGATTAAGTTTTCATGCAACAGCCCATTGTGGGTCAGGGGATCATAGAGGTTGAGATTACAATGTCGGACCAATAGCATGATTGGGGCAATGTGGTCAGTATTGGGCACAAACCACCACTGAGGATTGAACTCAGGTCCTTCACAATGACAGCTCAGTGGTTTTAACCACTTAGCTATGGCTGCTCAAACATTAAATTCAAATTGTAAACAACAACATCAAATTGTAAACATCAAATTCAAATAATATTTTAAGCACAAAATATTTAGGTCTGCCAGCAAGAAGATGTCCTAAGACTCAAGAATTTTTTTTATTAAGTCTAAATTAATTTTAGAGCATAATGTTTTAAAATGATTTATGTTATTTTAAATCCAATGAGATAAAAATATTAAAATTTGTGATTACATGCAATAAAACTTCTTCATATGTTTAAAAGCAGAAACATAAGTTAATAATATTGCTAAAAAGAATATCAGAGCTGAAAAATTAGATTGCTCGAAAATCCAGAGGCTTGAAAAAATTTTGATTGGACATACATTTTTAACCCTTACATACCAAATTGGGCATGCAAATATTCAATCAGAAATACCATAAAATACTGATTAAGCGGCACTCAAATTTGTACAAAAATAGTCAAGATGAAAGGTTTATGGAATAAATAAGATCAGAGGAGAAAAAAAAAACATTAATAAGACCTAAATAAGAAATTCAATATTATAAAAATAAATATTTATTAAGCAAATGTAGCTTATTCTTTGTATATCTAGTAGTCATGATCATTTTCACTAAAAAAGAAAAACGGTTTAACCATATTGCTGTACATAGTACGGATTTGGCCAATTACTGAATATTCTGTAGCCGAATAGCAACATTAAAAAAAAAATCATTAATAAATATTATTTTTTATATATCAATAAGTTTAGTCGTTATTGAAAAATAATCAAAACTTAGCTGAATTATTGGTATGGGGTAAATGAAAAAATAATCTTTAATAAAAATGTTTAAGATATTATATATTAACCCCTTGACATACGAAGACGTCCGAGAGACATCATTTGGTTCTAATGTCAAAACAATAATTGACGTGTCTCAGACGTCATCAACACAGAGATGCCAACTTGCTCCAGACAGCAAATAAATATTTTAAAGTGGTAGTTTATCAATTGTGATTCTTGGTTTAATAAATTCAATTGTGCAGATTTTATACCCACCACTATTCCTAAATAATTCGAAGGCTTATATAATTCACCACTTTATAGTAGTTATGTCATGCTATACCTTTTAAAAAGCAAGCAAAAATAGTAAAATATTTGCAAAATTTAGTTTGTAGTTATTTACCGTTTTTTTAAAAATGATTTTGGCTTGTCCGGAGCAGTTGGCATCTCTATTAACATTCCATTGCGAGTTGTTGTTTTCAGTGCTATCAAAGATCATTTCTATATCAAGAAATGATATGCCAAGGGGTTAAGATAATCAGAAATATTTAAGATAATTAGATATATTTAATATAAATAAAAAACTGACCAACAACCATTTTAAAAAATTTACAAATGTAAAGTTGAAAAAAAAAGGGAAATAGAAAAAAAAAAAAATATTGTCTTAATTCTTAAAACAAAACTACAATGCCAAAAATATTACCCAGAAGACGTTAAAAGAGACAATGACTATCAGAAACGATTTTAAAAATGCACATAATGCCCATAAAAAAAAAAGATTATATACAAAAGCAAAACAGAAAAATTAAAAATCGATTTTAATTTTTGAACAAAGTTTTAAGGCTAAACACCTGTTTTCCAATTACCGTATTTTCACGAAAAAAAAATGTTTAAAGTCCAATAGAAACTCTCTTAAATGCCATGTTATAATAAAAACATCTGTGGAAACAAATTTTTAAAAAAAGAATAAATTAAATAGAAATAAAAAAAAAACGGCTCTTAATTTTTAAATAAAAGATTTAAAGCTAAAAATATCAATTTAACTTTGTAATGTTAATGGAATTTTCAGAACAAAGTCACTACAAAAGAATAACGTTCATTAGATATGTCATAATAAAAACGTTGATAAAAAGAAAAATCAATAAAAAAGCTAAAGAGAAATCGAAAAAAAAAACGTTAATTTTTAAATAAAAGATTTAAAGGTAAAAATCTCAATTTAACTTTGTTACGTTGCCATATTTTCAGAAAAAAGTTACTATAAAAGAATAACATTCATAAGCTAAAGAGAAACTGAAAAAAAAATTATTTAGTATTGTTCTGAAATATAATTTTAATGTTGAGAATCACAGTTTTCCATGTTACTGATTATCTATCTTACCATAGAAGAAAAAAGTGACAACCAAAGAATAAAGTCCATTAGAAACGCTAAATTAAAATGCTCCACTAATACAGAAAAACAAGCAAAAATGGAACAAATAAAAAAAATCAAAAGTTCTCAATTTTTAAAACTTAAAGTGCTGATAAAACATCACATTTACCTGCATAGAGTTAAAAGAATCAATACAAAACTCATTAATCAGTATAAAGTAATCGAGTTTCAACTCTTCAAATTTTGCTTTTCCACTTGTTTCTCAGAACATAAATGAACAAGTTTTAGAACATATGTGTACAAAAAAATTCGAATAATGTATTGTAAAAAATATGATTTTAGATTATTCTCTAGTAAATCTATTTAAATTCAACCCAAAATAAACTTTTACAAATAATACCGAATATTTAACCAATTATTTGGCCAACCGAGCAATTGGCAAAGGGGCCGGATATTCCTTACAACCCAAGTATAATAAACAAAAAGTGAATAAATAAATTAAAATAAATAAATAAAAGTTTAAAACACTGTGAGCAGGTAATTGTTGATAATACATTATAGGTTTGATTTCACTACTTCTTGTTAAGTATAATGTTCTGAATTTACTTCAATGCTTTTCAAGCTCTATACTTAGATGCTAATAATAATACTTTACACTTCTGATTTCTGCTTCAAATAAAACTTTTGATGTCAATATAATGTTGTAAATGTTTTGTTTGATGCAATGCTTTTTCATAAATATATTCACATGTTTTTATTTGTAGGCAATTGAAAAATATACTTGGGCATGTATTTTTTTAGCAGACTAACATGCCCGGAAAGGCATGTAAAAATTTTACATTTTTCAAAGCCAGATTATCTTTTATAAAGCAAACCGTATTCCAAAAATAAATAAATGGTATTTATGCAATACTTTTGAGATTTTTAATAATTCATATTAATTTAATATGAAAATAAATAATGAAATTTATTATTCATATAATGAAAAATTCAAATAACTCACACTAAAATCTTTTATGGTACGCAATAAGAACTTTCGATCCTTAACATTTGAATTTGAAATAAATATGAGATTGAATGTACAAGTTGGTGGCATTTGACTCAGAAAATGATTATACCACAAAAAACATAAACAAGATTTATAATTCATGGTAAGAGAATGAACAAATTATATAAAATATGATGAAAAAATAAAATAAGAAAAAAGGAGGAAAGATCAACGGGATGATATTTGTTCACAATTCTTACAGTTGTTCTATGTGTGAACCCTTGATCAATGTGTTAGTACGGTTCCAGTAAGACTCCGACATGGCGCAATTAACAGTATAAACAACATATGTAATCCTTTCATACATATGAGACTATATCATATATGATCTACCAAATCAAAGCATAATCAACAGTATAAACATATGTTATTCTTTCATACATATGAGACTATATCATATGTGATAAGCTAAATCACACAACAAAGGGGTTAAAAAATCACGGGGATGAGTTTTTTAAACTTTTTTTTTCTATTAAAAAAAAAGAACAATACCACCTCTCCAAAGTAAGTTTCGCTTTCTCACATTCCTGAAAAAAGATTAGCTTATTATGATATTTCCTACCAAAACAAATACAAGATAAAATCACATCATGATTCTTATTCATGTGATTTAAAACTATAAATCATGATTCGCAGTCACGTGATTTAAAATTACATATTGCGATTTATATTCACACGATTTAAGAAATTCGGTAAATTCCAATTTAACTATGTAAAATTCTGAAAAAATTGTCAGGATCGAATGAAAGATTTTCACATCAGGTATTTAAAAATAGATCACCCATCAATATTTTTTTAATAAAAATGTTGATAATATTCTATGGATATAAGAGCTTAATAAATGCACATTTTCTTGCTAAACATTTTGGTATTTTTTTCAACAATTTAAAGTGTTTTGCACAAAATATTTTTGAACTTCGATTTTCAGCTTTTCTGCTTATTTACCAGACTAATCCTTGAAAACAAAGTTTCAATATATGGTACCGTAAAAAAAAATTACACATGCTGACAATACCACAGTACTATGTTGATTAAAGCCTGGTAGGAATTGGAGTATCATGGGTTCAAGCATAGAACACCTTTTAAGGCTAAATAAAGCTTCATTTGTTTCTGCATCAGGTCAATTTTTATTGCTTTCATCTTAGTTGTTTTTTTAGTATTGTCTTCAAAAATCCCAGACGGAATTACGAATAGCCCAAGAATCTTTTCCTTGACATAACTAAAACATTTGATGCAATTAAAATTATACACTTTGATAAATCATGTTGCATTTCTCTTCACTCAAATCAAACATTCAATTTAAATAATAACAAAAATAACTAATAGTCCAACAGCCTATGAATGGCAGACCTATGTAAGGCTGAAAATTGCTTGCAGTAAGTACAGTAGTTGATCTCGAGTTGCGCTGGCTTTGGCAGGTAACAAGGTGGCAAAGATACACAAAATAAGACCCTACTTACTTCATTTAATAAAAGCTGAAATATTTAGGGCAATATTTTAAGATGTTCCCCAAGTAGCTGAACATCCTTAAAGTTTAAGAAAATAAGACCTTACTTACGTATTTCGATAAAAGTCGAATTTTATATGTATTATTTGTGTAACAGTTTTAAGATGATTTGACAGTTTGCGTGATGGGTACTAGTTGCCAGGCACCCTTAAAGATAATGAAATGGGACTGTACCAACCTCAGCAGAATAGTTTCGAAGTTCCTAACCCACTATCAGACAGTTTTGAAATTTCTGATCACCTGTCAGGCAGTTTCAATATTTCTAACTACAGCCAAACCCCGCTATAGCGAACTCCCGGATATAGTGAACCAAAAGAAGAGAGGAAATTGGTTATTATGAACTTTTTTCTGTCTTTAACTGATTTTTTTGTCTTCATTTCTTGCAAATTGTGAAATTTCTACAGAAAATACATATATCGATTTTTAAAACCAACTATTGAGTGGGATGTAGCCAAAAGTTTATCTTGTTTGCTTCTTCTGTCTCAGTTTCTCATCCCTAAATTTTTTATACGAAAGACGAAGAGCAATAAAAAATGAAAGTTAACACAATATTTGTTACTGCACATTGTTTAATTAGTTTCGTTTTTCTTTTTATTCATTTAAATAATGTGTAATAAAAGGGAGCAGTTCGGAAAAATTAGTTAAAATTGTTTGCAGTACGGATAGTGAACTCACGGTTATAGTGAATCAAAATTTCAGTCCCTTTAAGGTTCACTATAATGGAGTTTAACTGTATCTGTTGAACACCTTTAAAGCTTACTAAATTATTATAGTACTTGCACCTTTTTCTAAAATCTGAAATTTATCTATGTTATTTGCGCAACTGTTTTAAGATAATTCCCTAATAGCTGGACAGTTCGCATGCAGGAAATCACCTACTGGACACTGTCTAAGGTTATTTAATAACTGTCGCTGAACAGCCCACTCAAGTTTTGGGTTTACGACTACTAATGTTCAACTCTGTAGCATTTGTCCCCAGTACGCAAACTGTCCGCTAAGAAATAGGTAGGTTAGGTTTCATAAAATGGTGCAAGTAGGTTCTCATTTTCTTAACCTTTAAGGGTGCTAGGCAGGTAATTTCCAGAATGTACAGGGAAACATCTTAAAATAGTTGCCCAAGTTATATAGGTATAAAAAATCCAGCTTTTATAAAATGATGTAAGTAGGGTCCCATTTTGTGCACCTTTGCCACCTGCTGAAGTCAGTGCAACTCTAAGTTAATAATAGCCCACCATTTTTACCCACCTTAGTGTACTAGCATAGAAAAATTTACAGCCTTTATAGTATAACAGAAAATCCGTCATTCACGGGCTCTTGGTTTATAATGATGAGACCATTTTCTAATGTATTTAAGCAACTAATAAACTATTTTCATATATTAGTTGCATCACTAAAAGCCATTTTTAGATCACTAATTGCTTCTAGGTTTTTTTTATCAACTGTAGTCTGTAATTTCATCCCCACTCTGCAGATCACCGGACAGTAGAGTAGACGAACTGGTCGAGTGTATAGTGTCGACAACTATTGGAGGAGCGCTAGGAATGCCAGTTTCGTCCTCAGCAGAATCAAACTGCAAATCATTATAATTCATGTCTGGTAATGATATCTGAGTCAATTCTGAAGCACCAACTAGAGTCCCATGGGCGGATATGATTTCAATGTGAGCTGTGGGGATGTCGTCGACTATTTCCGAACTACTGTCACCGTCTTTGTCACCGGCATCATTAAGTGTTAAAGGTCTGTTTTTCGGTCTACTCCTTTTTCTGGGTGCACAACTATCACCCAGTAACACTCTAATCTTCTTCTGTCTACGTGAACGATAATAGGGTTTTTTAATTGGTTTTTGATCGAGTTCTAGTTTGCACGATTTCGAGTCATCCGAGTCCGTCATGCCAGGACTAGATATCTCGAGTGTCGGTTCGTCGGCATGACATTGTTTAAAGTGATCATTTAAATAGTTCTTACGGGTAAATTTTTTATCACATATGCTACAAGCAAACGGTTTAGGACAGCTGTGAGTTAAAATGTGAGATTTCAGTTTGTCGGCACGATTAAATTCCTTTGGACACCCACTGTGCGTTCGGAAAGGACATTTGTAACGCTTGACCGGCTCGTGTATGAGTGCATGGCGTTTCAATTTGTCTTTCCGGTTGAAAGCAGCCTTGCACACGTTACATTCATACGGCTTGTCTTCGCTATGAACGAGTTTGTGAACTTTGAGATAACTGTCAGTCTTGAAGCCTTTTCCACATTCATCGCACGTGAATGATTCAGATTCAGAGTGTATTTGGAGATGGCGACGCAAATATCGTTCGCAGGGAAACACTTTGTCGCACCAGGAACAGTTGTAGGTGTGTGAAGAGGTGGCAAGGTGATGGTCTAGAGCTGCAGGTGTAGCATATTTGTTGAGGCATAAGTTGCACTGAAAGAACCTATCAGACATCAAAAAAATATTTTTGTCAGAGAGTCAAGGTCTATTTTTTGTGAAGGTATATACAGGGTATCTGCTACATTATAGATTTTCAAATTCATAACTTTCCATGACTAATTCTCAGAATTTTTCATGACTTAACAAAGTTACTTTTTTCTCCGACAAAAACACAACAATAAATTAAAAAAAGCATTATAATAATATTAATTGAAATAATAGGTATAACCAAAACTCTGCATCTTCATATTTATAGATTTCAAATTTAAAAAACAGAGTAAAGAAAGAGTTGAAGCAATAAAATAGCTGAAAAAAAATACAAAAGCAAATATTTTTTTTCTTCTGCAGAATTATATTCTAAAGATACTTTTCTTGTTCATTCGAAAGGGGAAAAATACTCCCGATTTTTCTGTTCTCATTTCGGAATTAAAAAAAAAAAAATCGCCAATGACCGGCCTGCTTCAGCTAGAATTTTAAATTGATAAAATTTTTAAAAAATAAATAATAACAAAAATTCTGAAATCCCAGAAGTTCAAAAGATAATTCGCCCAAGAATTGATGTCTTTTCTTTCATTTTTTGAAGGAACACCATAATTTTTAAAGAACATGATAAAACATTTTATGTTTTAATAAAATATGACTGTGAGTGGGGATTTTGTTAGAAATTCAGATATTCGAAACACCATGAAATTGGGGGGGGGGGATTTTATTTTAAAAATTAGATTTTTTGGCGACCTTAATTCATGAGTTTCCATGATTTTTTTTAAAAAAAATAGTTAAAATCATGACAAATTTTGTTCAATACCGAAATTCATAACTTTTCATGATTTCTCATGACTTTTCAGGTGCGCAGATACCCTGTATATAATTGTTTAAACAGAAAAAGGGCTAACTAAGGTAAACAACGCTAAAGAGCACAAAAATATTATTAAATGCAGACAGCTGTTTCGGATGCTCAAAGGGTAACCTTCATGAGTGCAACAGAGAGAAATGAGAGAAAATAGGGTAAATATATAGAGAAAGGTGACGTCACAAGGGGGTTAGAGCAACGGCCAATAGGAGGGAAGGGTGAAAGGATGACAATGAATGGGAAGCAAGGAACAAAAAGGGGGGGTTAGTTAGGTTTAATCATAGATTTCCATACAGGAGAAAGATAAGGAACGCTGGATAGGTCATTGACCAACAGTTTGGAATTTTTGAAAATATTATAGGATTCATAAAAATCTAAATCAAAAATTGAAGAACAATTTTGAATAACTTTAGAAGAAGAAAAATCACAATTATGATTAGAGTCCCAACAATGTTGGGCAATAGATGAGCGTTTAAATTCGTGCTTTTTGACATAGGCATCATGTTCCTTGAAAGGGCACTTTAAGGCACGCTTAGTTTGGCCAATATATGAAAGGCCGCATTGGCAATTAATTTGGTATATACCCCAGCTACTTTGACGGTCAATGGGCTGTTTGAGATTAGAAAATTTTATCTTATTAATGGGACTGAAAATAATATTAAAATCAAACTTCTTTAGGATATTAGCAACTTGCCGACTTATTTTAGGAAAACAGGGTAAAATGACTAAATTTTTAGAAAATTCTTTGGAAGGTTTATTGGTAGGTGATTGTTTAGTTAAGTTTTTATAAATACTATCCATAATGTTAGGAGAATAACCTCTGTCATGAGCAATGGCTTTGATGTAATTTAATTCAGCATCAAGAAAATCAATGTTAGAACAAATATTTACCGCACGGTAGAGAAAAGACCGAAAAGATGCAAGTTTTTGGTTGGGAGGGTGGGAGGATTTGTAGTGAGGGGGAAGAGAAACAGCAAAAGGTTTACGAAAGACAGTAGTATATAATGAATTATCATTCCGAGTCACAAGAACATCTAAGAAAGGAAGTGTTTGATCAAACTCTAATTCAAAGATGAATGCAAGAATCAATCAATGCTGTTCATAACATTAATGCAAGAATCAATGCTGTTCATAACATTAAGAATTTGATCTAAATTACAATTATAAAACTGTCATCAACGTATCTTTTATAAAAGGGGAAAGTTAAGATTTTGAATAGTTAACTCTCAAAATAATGCATATAGATGTCACTAAGTATAGGGCTCAAAGGATTTCCCATGGCAAGACCAGAAAAAGGACTCCCAAAAAGTTATAGCCAAAGAAAAGGGTAAAAGTTAGTTAAAAATAGGATTTTCGAGGACCATTTAAAGATTAAAAAGAGGTCTTTGGCGGATCATTCATACCAAAGTAATTTGCATTCGGGTATACCAATAAATGATTTAGTGTTCTAAACACAACCTTTAAAAATTCAGCTGAACAGAATTCATTTTGATCCTACTAACAAGACGAAAATTTAACAATAAGTTTCTTAACATAGCAATTATTTTCAAAGAACACTGATTTTTGAAACTATTCTTTTGGTTAGCATTTCACCAACACAAGTCTGAAATTTTATATAAAATTAGAAGACTTATTGCATAAAACTTAAATGAATTTGATTCTTGCTTAAGGTTTCAAAATTTGTTTAAGATTGCAACATTTAAGACTTGGAATAGAAATTGTATAACAATCATTAAAAAAGAAAAAAAAAAGAAAGAAAAGTTGTTATTCGAGAAATTTAAAAGTTTCCTTTTCAAGAGTAACTTAATTTTATGTTTATAATCCTCATCTTTAATTGAATTCATCACAACTATACAATTTTAGCATCCATAAGGAACCCATTATTAAGAGTTTTCATCAGTTTGCTTTTCATTAGATAAATATATCAACAGCATTGATAAAAACATGTTGGGAATTAAGCAGACAATAAATATATGCACTATATTAGAATGAACCATTAAGGTAGATGTTATAATGGGTATTAAAATAGCATTGCATGTATGGAAAAGCAAAAGGAACTTTATGTATTGTTCCTTATAACAAGGAGATGGAATTAAGCGTGCTGACTGTGTTTACTTAAATATGAATTGCAGAAGGAAAAACCAAGAAAAAAAATCAAACAAATAGATGGTTAGAAAAAATACTTTTTTTAAAGTGCAGTACATACCTTTAACTATAAATAACACTAGAACACCCAAAACAAAATATTAATAGTTTGCTATTGAAACATAGATAAAGACCAGAAGAACAAAAATCCAATTGAGTCAAAAAATAAAGGCTAAATTTTTAATATGAAGAGCACTTATTTCAACAAATATTATGTTAGAAGAACCATGAAAAGCTTTACAAAAATTTTTTATTTATGAAAAAAAAGACAATGTTTTTCTGAAAGAAATGTACTTATCCATATTCATTACACTGATTAAAAAAATGACATTTAATAATAGTGTAAATAGACGCTTGGATTTAAAAAAAAAATGTAATAGTTTTTATTGTACCTGCGACTCGATCTTGCTCGAGAATTGGGATAGAGACTGTGTGTAAATTGATGAGAACCGAGTTCAAAGAGTGAGATGAAACTCTTGTTGCATTCATGACATCTATACGTCATTTCATTTTCATGAGATTTAGTATGTTCAAGAAATGGATCCAACTCATTAAACATTTGACCGCAAGTGCTTAGTATACATTTATACACCTAATAAGAGAAAGAACAGACAATTAATACAAAATCATAACTTTCTACATGAAAGGCTGAGGACAATATAGTGCACACTTTCATCAAAGCTGAAAATTAGGTATCAAACTAAAGGGCGAAATTAGGAAATTTTGTCACTAACCAGAAGCTAGTAGTAGCATTTTTAACACTAAACATAGCAACACTTAATGTATAACTATTTCTACCATAGCCGGTCAAATGACCGGACTTCATGTTTGTTGATTGTATTTATGAACACGGATGTTAGGAAGGAAATAAACTAAAAAAAAACTTTATTATAATTAAACAAAATTTTATATCGTCAATTTTTATGTATAACAAACACAAAGAATAAGAATTTTTAATTCATTACTCAACACATTTTTTACATATACAGGGTGCTTTCATTGTACATTTTGCGCAAACACAATTCTCTTAATTATTATTATTTCTATAATTCCTATAACTAATATTAATTCTTCTAAGAACTTGTGCTGTTTTGATAGTTTCGAAATTTTTCAGGGTAAAAACTAACAGTTAGTTAATAATGAAGTAAAGCTATCAAAATAAAGTATAAGCTACTAGCATACCAAAACATTCAGTTTTTGACACTTTCTCCTGCACAAAAACGCTAATCTAAAATTTTTGGTACTTTCTCAAAATTTCCATAATTCTTAAAATTATAAGAATATATAAGAATTATAATTCTTCTAATTAATATTAATTCTCCTAAGAACTTGTGTTGTCTTGATAGTTTCAGAATTTTTCTGAGTAAAATCTAACAGTTAGTTAGAAATGAAGTAAAGCTATCAAAATAAAATATAAGCTACTTACCAAAACATTTAGTTTTTGTCACTTTTTCTTACACAAAAATGCCAATCTAAAATTTTTGGAGCTTTCTTGAAATTTAAATTCACAGTTATTCTGATTAACTACGCATCAGTCTTTGCAGAAATATGCAACTCATCGAATATAATACGCTGAACAAGCATTACATCGTAATTTCTGATCCAATAACCTTATAGAGCAATAAATTGTTCTCCCGGTCAAATGACTGACTGCAGTAGAAATAGGTACACCACAAGTATTATTCGAAAGAAACAAAATACAAAATAAATAAATAATAATAGAATATTAAGTGTATATTATTGTTTGAAAAAATCATAAAGTCAAATGTGCAAAAACGATAAGATGATAAGCGCGTCTTTGATGCAAAAGTTATGGTATGTTTAGTCAGGGTTCATGCTCTACTTTAAAAATAAAATTCAAGCACTTTTCAAGGACTTTTTAAGACTTATTTAAAATTCTCAAGGACTTAAATTTTAGTAAAAGATAGACAAAAATTTAAAATTTTAAACCAAAATGTCTTGACGATAATAGTTAGTTGATGATAAATGTTAGACGATAATAGCAGTACTGAAAAATAAAACTTCCGTTGCTCTGTAATCTAAGTGTAAAAAAAGCAAAGGGTGATTGACATCAAGTCAGGGATAAAATTTATGATGCATAAAAATGTCAGATTTGAATTTTACATAAGGCCTATTTTAAGCTAGGTATACAATCTCTAAATATGCAAAGATCCGGACAAGTCATGAAGAAAAGAGGAACATTTCAAACAATCTATACAAAAATTAAAACAAAGTACATTCAAATTTATTTATAATAACAAATCTACAGTTAGAGTAAAGAAAATAGAAAACATACTACTTAAAATTATTAAAAGATATTTATTAGTAAAAAACTCATGCATCTTAAATGATATGTAAAGAACAAAACTATCATTAACAAATATAATAAATAATTTTTGAATGTCTGTAGTAAAATATGATTGAAAAAAGAATCAAATAAAGCGGACACAAATAAAAAAAGCTGAACTTCTACAACATAATCACTGGGAAGATGGGGGAGGGGGGGGGGAGTGTTCTATATAGTACTGTAATAATGAGATACATAAAAACAACTCTGACAGGAGAATTTTTTTAAATATTTAAAGTGGAAGAAGCATTTAGACAGTGAAATTTAAATTGTTCTTAAATATAATTTTAAAATTTTGACCACTTCTCACTTCTCTATTAAAGAAAATTAATCAATTATTGTCCCAGCTTAATTAGCATTTTAAATTAATTACCAGTCAGTCATTTTAAATTGAAACAGTTGCCAACTTTCACCTTAAAATCTTCTGATAGATTCTTCCTAACAATTTTCGTCACTTTGACTGTTTTAATTAACCAATCATACTTGAATTTATTAAATTTTTTTCAGTAGCATTAATCATACGCACTTTGTGTTTGCCTTTCTATTTGATTAAACGTCATCAAAATTTTTTTTTTTAATTGATAATAATATATTTTCATAATATATTTAATAGTAGCTATGAATTTTTTTTTATTTCAAATTAATTTTTGCAATATATATAGAATTGACTGTTTTAATTAACCTGTGATTCTTTTTTTAATTAATCAATCATACTAGAATTTTTTTTTTCAGTAGCATTAATCGTACGCACTTTGTGTTTGCCTTTCAATTTGACTAAATGTCATCATAACTGAACTGACTAAAACATAATCATAAAATAAATTTTTTTAAAATTAATAATAATATATTTTCATAAGATTATATTAGATAGTAGCTATAAATTTTTTATTTATTTCATAAACGAATTTTTGCAGTATATATAGAATTACTGTTAATATTTTTTTATTCATTGAATTTAAAAATTTTATATTGCTTTTATTTAAAAGAAAAATAACAATTGACTAAGTTAGTTTTTTAAACTTTTATTTGTATTAGATTTTTAAAAAAAATGCCTCTCAAAAAGCAGGTAAAGTCAATACATTAAAGAAAGCAAGTATTATTTGAAACACACAATTCAAATTTTCTGTCAAATAAAAATTTCATTTTTCAAAAGTAAGAAGAAACATTCAGCATTGCTCTACTGTTGTTGGCTAGCATACAATAATCCCCTTTCCCGGAATCATGTAGCAGGGGCAGCAAGTGAGTAAAACTAATCATTCCATTCAAAATAAAGTTTCGGGTTATCTTTAGAAGTCCCCTTCTACAAGAAAGTATTCTTCCATCATTTGCAACATGTCGCTATTGACGTGACCCATGGCTGAACCAATTATTTATTTCACCTCAATCTTTTTCACTAGCTAATACTTTTGTTTTTAACAAATCAGTTAGGATTAAAAAAAAAAAACGAAATGGGATAAATTTCAGGGGCCCCATTGGAACTCGGAGCCTGGATCCTTCCTTAAAAACAGATCTGCTCAGGAGTCTACTGCAGGGGGAAAAAGCTCCTTCCAAGTCCAACTACTCATATTTCTCTCTTTGAGTTAAAAGCAGGGACTACAATAGGGTCAAACCCAGAGCTAAGTCAAACCGGTCTTTGCTGAGGACCACGTTGACCAAAGAGGGAAATCGTGACGTGCGCAACTGATAAGTGTGGACAGCACACGTCATCATCAGAAAGGTAGGAAAGTCATTCTCTCGCACTAACGTGCGTCAGATGTTAAACACAGAAATGCGGAAAATGGGGCGGTTTTTAAGAGTTTCAGATACTTTTCAAGGTCATTTTAAATTTTTCAAGGATTTAACATTATTTTAAAGTACTTCTAGGGGCCCTTGAAAATCAAAATGAAATTCAAGTACTTTTCAAGGTTTTTTCAAGGCTGCGGGAACCCTGTTAGTGTTAATAGCCTCTTTTGAAAACATGAGGATATATTTTCAAAAATTAAAAATTCTAAACAATTAAGAAACTTTCGATATTATTAATACATAGCATTTATGAAGGACTTTTCAAAATATGGTAAATAACTATAGGATTCAATTCTAAAATTCAAAAAAAATTTCCTTGACTTCTTGAAGTAGGTTTACGTGAAATTCAAGTGTTGCATATGTTTTCAATTAATAAATCTTAAGAGTTTAAGATTTTGAACCAATAATGCAACACAAAATTTATCAAACATAAAAGTTATTTGTTACAAAATAAATCAGAAATAATTGCAAGATAAAATTATATTAAGTCAATGTTTTTTTAAAAATATCATTCGCCATAAGATTTTATTTATCAAAAATGGGGATAGGGTAATGAGTAATAAACAAAACCATTTTTTTTAAATATTTAAATATTATTCGCCCTTTGGCTAATGGCAACTGTATATTTTGAACCATATATCAAAGTGTGCTTTAGTATAGTTTCCAAATAATGTCATACCATACAGTAGCCAAAACTTATGTTGATCTAACAAACTGAAAATATCTACTTAAAAAGATTGACATAAAAAAAATTTATAAGGAAAAAAATGTGACTATTAATTGAATCAGTAAATCAACAAAGATTTAAAATTAAAATTTTATATCAATTCAACTCAAGATTTTGCCTACATAAATCCACTGGTGCACCATAAGTTCTTTTTTTCCTTTCTATTATCTCAACTTAGTTTTAAAAATAGTATTGATTAAGATCATGAATATATCATTTTTAGAATGGTAAAAAATAAAAGGAAAAGTTGAAAATAACTGCATTGCTTCAATACTTTACATAAATAAGTATAATGAAACCTAGTTTTATAATTATATAAAGAATTCCTCTTAAACCATGAAAATAAAATTTTATTTAATATTTAAGTTAAGAGATAACATACTAAACATATACACTACAAATCACATATCATATTTACAATTGCAAATAGCATGCTAATTTTTACATCAGAATACTGTTAAGTATGAATAATAAAACTGGCTCAAAAATAATAAGATATATTATGTTTATCTTAAATTTCTGTACAAAACTCTTTAGTATTATATTAAATTTAAGCTGTTTTTTTAGTACTTATTGCTAAACAATTGTATTTGTCATAGTTTCTTCCAGTTTTTTTCGTCTCTTTCTGTTTCCTGGAAGAAAAAAAAATTTCTGGACAAAATGCCAAATCAGCTTACAATAAATAATTAAACAATAATATCAATAATTTCATTTAAGGCTGATACTTAAAATACTTGATTTATCCAATCATTAATTTTGAAACAAATTATAAAAAAAAAAACTTACTTTTTCTCTATCATGTGCTTTCATGTGGCTTTTTAGTTTATAATAGCTTCTACCAATGTAAGAGCAATATGGACAGGCATAGGAATTTTTGTCAATTTTAAAGTCTTGTGCTCTATCCTGGCTCTGTTCATGCTAAAAATAATAAAACAATTTACTAAAAAATAAGCACATATAACTGAAATAAACTGACACTTTATCAGCAGGATTGACACAACTTCCTCCTCGAAATGAAAAATATTTTTCTGCCCGACATATATATGTTACGGTCAATAAGTCGGTTATATAATGCGGTCAATAGTCGGTTAATATTAATACTAACCGGTCAATATTAATAATAACCAAATAAACCGGTTAAAGAATAATTTATGCAAATTTATCACATTAACTGGTTATTATTAATAATAACCAATGAAGTTTGGTCAATGTCATTCGTTCGCTTTTTCATAGGGATATTTCCATATCGCGATCTGCCACATCAACTACAATCGTCATGGTGTCAAATTGATTGGAAAAAAAAAATTAAATAAAACATGCGGATGTTTGCCCGGGGGTGGCTACGAGTGATACCCTTCAAGTTGGTCCTTTCTGTGAATTTTTTTTCCCTTTTGGTTTCCTGCGGGTAGCTGTCAGGAAGTTGCAAAGATTATTTTGCCACAGATCACGATACGGAAATCTCCCCTTTTCATTTTTCACTTTGACCAAAAGAAGTGGTTATTATTACTTTTGACCGATTAGTATTAATAATAACTGGATTTATCACTTTAACCTCAACACACATACAAAGAGGCTCACCAATACCCAATGCTATATAAACCATTTAATAATATTGACCAAACTTCATTGATTATTATTAATAATAAACTGTTAAAGTAAATAATTTGCGATATTTCTCACTTTAACCAAAATAGGAGATTATTATTCATATTCATAGCATTAATAATAACCGTATTTATTACTCTAACCGTAACATAAAGATTTAAAATTTTTTACTATCCTATTGATTGAGAGAAATAATTATTGCCTTTTTCCAACCGAACACAAATTTTCTTTTTCACAGGGAAAAATACAAATTCAATAATATATTTATATATATATACAGTAGAGCGCCGATTATCCGAACCCTTATTATCCGAACCATGTCCGAATTCGTTTCTTTTTTTTCTATTTAAAGTTTAGAATAATTTTTAACTTATCGACAATTTTTCTAAATTTAGAAGAATTAATAATATCCACTACATCTGAAGACCATATTTAATTTNAACATGTTTAAATATGAAAGTTGAGTATTCAGCCCTTTTTCTCAAGCACCCCAAGTGGTTGGCTAGGTAAACCTGATGTTAGATCCCCTCCCTGTCTTAAAGTAAAAACTTATTTAAAACATAATTTGCAAGAAACAACCCAACATTAAACTAATTTAATTATCAAATGTAAAATAATAATTTATTTGCTAATGACCATTCCCACATACTTTTTTTTTAATTTTCATAAATTTACTTTAAAATTTACCAAGGCATTTTTTTATTATTGTCGTAGATTTTTTTTCCATCCTTATTCTTAACAAAATGGGGTATCAAAAAAGAAAAATGCTTTAGAATCAACGCTTATCGTTGAACGAAATAAAAAAGTATACACATGATCAAAGGTATTATGAGTGTAATGGAAATTATTTTCATAGCATACAGGTTTTTAAATTTTTAACAAAATCGAATGGAAATATATAAGAATCAGAATAAGTTATGGGACAGCATTTTATTTTTCCTTTAAAAAAAAAAAAAAAAAACACAATTTAAGCTTGCAAAATCTTACTCAACATTTAGTTTACATCTTATTCAACACTTTACAGTTCAACCCAATTACAGAGAGTTTTCAGTTCTTACACAATCCAAAACTATAAAAAGTACTAAAAAGTTTGATATATTATAAGAGGATGCTAAAACTGAAATTGTCCTTGGGCATGGTAAGCCTTAAATCCAACTTTGGAAATTAGACAGTTTTGTATTGATTTTAAAAAAAATATTTACAATAAAAATTGTAAATAATGGACCTGATAGCCTGGTTGGTAGGGCACTGAGCCCATGTCCAAGAGGTCGTGGGTTGGATCCCCACTGGCTGAAAACTCCCCGCGTAGTAAATGGTGACTAATGCACGTTAAATCTGCTGAGTCTTAAAGTCCTCCATGTTCCCTTGTCTTCTGGAGTGGTCCAAAATTACAAGGCTACAGAGTTGGTTGTTGTAAACCAAAAATTGGGTCGACAGTTATAAAAAAAAAGTATTGTATTGATCTAAAAAAAATATTTACAATAAAAAATTTAAATAATGGTGAATAAAATCTATCAGCTAGAACTGGATATTCATTTGATAATTTTAAAGTTTTAACTACTTTGACTACTTATTTTACACACATTGCTATCGTCCGGTTCATCAGGACAATGATTATCCCCATTGCCATCGACATCATCGTTAGACGAACAGTTATGTTGCTTTGTCACTAGATGAGGCAAGGTTCTTGCTAAACCATCCGGCCACACCTGTACAAATATGATAAAAAATAGTGTTATCAGAGTTTATAGAAAAATAATAATAAAATAGATTAAACAGGGTCGCCACAAACATTCAGAAAAAATAAATTTCTATGACTTATCCAGACTGAATCTTACCTAATCTGCCTGTTTTCTTGTTCCGAGTGGCTTAAATTTTATTAATAATTTTTCAGTAATGCTTCATCCTTAACCCATTTTTGGTCAAAGGTGTGCGAACACACCATTTCAAAAAATATTTTTTTATTAACACTGTGATGTATATTTTTCACTAATTTTATTTTTCACCTATTGTCAAGCATTCTTAAGACTCCCAAAAATTAATAGTAATTCAATTGAAGTAAACACTTTCTGTTGAGAAATTTCAAAACTATTAAAGTTTTTTTTNCGAACACACCATTTCAATAAATATTTTTTTATTAACACTGTGATGTATATTTTTCACCTATTGTCAAGCATTCTTAAGACTCCCAAAAATTAATAGTAATTCAATTGAAGTAAACACTTTCTGTTGAGAAATTTCAAAACTATTAAAGTTTTTTTAAAACTTAAAACAGTTATTTACAATTGAAATCCTTTGAAAATGTATAGTTATTCCTTTTGAGATTTATCATTATGTTTTTATGATGGATTATAGTTGCAAGTCAGTAAATAAATAAAACAAATTGCATAAAAAAAAACAAGTGTTCAACTAAATGGTTTGTTCATTGATTTGGTGTATGGTGCCCATACGCTCCATTTTATTTCTTAAATAAAAATTTTTATACACAAAATTTTTTGCGTTTCTTAATGAATGTAATGTAAGCATATTTCAATATAAAATAATACCACATTTTATAAAATTTAAGTGCTTGGCCTAAAATGGGTGAAACATAAAATAATTTTGAAAACTTTTACAGGTGAAATCAAAGTTAAAAATGAAAAAAAAAATTTCTAAAACCAATTTTTTATGGAAAAAGTCTAGGTACCTCAAAAGTCAATTTATTCATTTTCTCTGAATTTTTAGGTATTTCAGTTAAATTCCCTGATGTGTGACCAACTTATAGTAATATTTTCATTACATTTATTTATATATTTTAAGAATAATAATGGTAAATCAAAAGTTAGGAGTCTAAGAAATTTAAAATAAAAAAGTATTTTTTTAAATGTAATATACAGGAATATGATGTTTAATAGCCTAATTTATGTGACAAAACTTTCTTTACAGTTTAAACAATATTTTTATATTTTATACATATGTGTTAACAAATTAAAAAATTATTAAATGAAAGTAAAATTTTTATGAAGTTATTATATTGTTTGGAAACATAATTTTGCATTGAAGTATACAATTGTTTTTAACAAGTTAAAAGAAAAATTCTACAGGAATTAAAAGAAAAAAGCTTCCGTAAAAATTTTTAATGGACCAAAAATGAAAAAAAAAAGAAAAAAAAATGTGACACATTATTTTTAAAAGTGTGGAAATTTTCAACCGGAATAGAAGTTTTTTTATGAAAGTGATGCAATGTTTTTTTTTAGGTAAAAAAAAAGTTTACCCCTGAAGTTTATTTGAAAAGCATAGTTTTTAAAATTTTAATCTAATATTACCATCCTTTCAGTCTACACTTTTCTAATTTACAACAGCACTTTTGAAACATTATGTTTTGTGGCAAAATAAATCAGACAAATGAAATACCTTATGAGTTTGCATGTGTTTCTTGACATTAGACTTTTGGGCAAATGCCCGTCCGCATACTATACATTGAAATGGCTTTTCCCCAGTATGGCATCTAATGTGTTGCTGCAGGTCAAAGTTTTTGGTAAACGACTTCCAACAATAAGCACAACTTAGCCTAGAATCCTGAAATATATGAGTTCTAATTTGAATGCTTTTAAAAACTTTTCAGATAGCAAAATAAATAGTTTAAATTATTACATGTTACATAATACAAAAGGAATGCAAGAAACATGATTGAATTAATTTAGGATCTTTATAAAATAATCTAAGATCTTCATATTAAAAAACTTACTTTTTTATTATGATTATCATCACTTTCATTTTCAGCACCTGGCTTTTTTGTTTTTACCATACTACTGTGAAATTCTGTGATTATATTTACAGTACTTGGCTCTTTATCACTTACATTTGACGAAACCTGATTGTTTTCCGAAGTTAGAGTCTGCGTCAACGGTGGCGCAATAAGAACTCCATCACTTTTATTTTCTCCACTCGCACAAAGAACAGAAGCAGCTTCTACACTATTGCCTATGTTTAACACTACGGGCTGGCTTGCTACTGCAATAGCCCTGGGGAACAGTTTATCGTTTATGATAGAGAGTTGTTGTGTTTCAGGGTTCAGAGGCTGGAGAACATGGTGAACGGCTTGAGGTGTGAATGCAGATTGTGGCAGCAATGTATGGTTAGGTGATATGGGCAAGCTTGCATTTGTAGTGACTGCACTAGAAACACTAGGATCTAATGCAGCATTAGATAATTGAAGAAGATCAGCCTCTGTCAAGACGAAACTTTGCGGATAACTGGCTAAAGATAATGGAATCTACAAAAAGAAATTATTATTATTTTTAGAAATGAAGAATGAAAAAATTTGCTGTCATTTATTGCACAAGTTAAGCACATAGTTATAATTAAAAATAAATATATACTGCAATAATATGATTTAGATTCGAAGCAGGGATGCACAACTGAATATGACTGCTGAATATGAAACACTGAATATGATTTGAAGGTCAAAAGTGGCCTGTTAACCTAGTCCCTGAATTGTCTTAAATATTAATAAAACTATGAAAGCAAAACATGAAAGAAAAATCTCATTCCTTTTTGTTCCATAACAAAAAGTTACTGATGAAGTTCACCTTTCAAGACCTTTTTTACAGAGAACCATTTCAAATGAGTTTGTTCAAACAATTGGGACAAAAAGAAAGGAAAGTTTTCAAATTGGAAAAGATAATAGATAAAAAAAAAATAATAATATCAAAATTCCGATTACATAACACATAAATCAACTATCAATATTAACACTTTAGTAACAAATTAAAAGATAAAGAAATATTTTTAATTTTTATTTGTTTATTCTTTTTATAAATGGTAATATTTTGTATAAACGGTAATATGTTAATTTGTCTAGATGGTAATAATTTCTATTGAAAAATAGCTGCATTTGTTTAGATTAATTGTTATTATCCGCGCCTGAATTTAAAAAAAAAAGAAAGGAAGAAACTATACATGTGTAAGTCACTCATATTACTTTCAAATAGACTCTAAATGTACCATGCATTTTTATGATTATTTATGTTGGTCTTCCTCATAATATTTTCTAGTATTTGTGGCTTACAAACCGAAAATAAGAACGTATTCCTGTACATACTAGGGGATTCAATTTAACTCTACTCATTAGAATCTTCATTGAAAAGAAGTAAGATTTTCTCATGACTTTTTAAATATAGTTTTGAATTACTCAGAGTTTTTCAGACCTATAGATGTCTTTAGTTTGAGTTCATCCACATGTAAGACATTAACATATTTACATAAAGTTTCTAAAATAAAACAGTTTAGGAATAAAGAATAAAACAAAATGTATCTCTCAAAAAGATAAGGGTACAAAAAGCATAATTTAATTAATTATTTTAATCACAAACTTATTCGTGGTTTAAGTTGTTCTAGGCAAATATTATTAACAGAATATGATTATACAGCACATTTTCTTTAAAAAAATGACTCTTTTAGAATAATTAAAACTAAATAAATATTTTAGGCATGTTACATAATCTTCCAATATTAATTATTTTCTTTCAATAGATGTAAAAAAAAAAGTTAATTATGTGTTCAAACTAAAATGAAAAATAATTATAAAAAAAAGGAAAGAAAGAAAAAAAAATTATACATCTGAAAATTCATAAGCAATTTATATTATATGAAACACCTACACGTACATTGTTATAATCATGTTGCATCTTTTCACATGTTGGCATAAGCAGTTAAATGCTATTTCATCACTCCATATTTTAAGTTAAACTATGCTTTAAACTAAATACTATTTCTTTATTTTTTCTCATGTGTTTGGATTCATGTATAGATCTCTTTCAAAATTTTTCTGCTTTATTCAAATGAAAAGAGCAAATGCTTAATGGGACCCAGAACAAAATAAATTCTGGTTTCCATCCTTAAAGCACGGCCTTATTTTCCAATTTTGTAGAATTTGTGCAAAATATATATTTAGAATTTCGTACAGACAAAAGTTCCATGAAAATAATATAACCAATGAGAGAGCAAAGTAATCTTGGATCGAAAAGCGATCCGAAGAGAATGTGAAAGGTGTTCTGAGGTTTGGCAAGCAGGAAGCAGACCCTTCTAGAGTGAATATCATATCTTTAACTTCACAATATTGTCAAACAAAAAAAAAGAAAAAAAAAAGAGATCAATTGCATTTTCTCTTTATTTTGTCTTGTATAGAGAAAATAGAACAAAGGACATTTTTTATTTCACTCATTGTCAAAATTTTGATTTTCTGCTTTACTACATTTTTGGAGAAATCCCAAATTTAATGATAAGGACTAAATCTGTACTACTCTCACCCCCCTCTTTAAAAGATTATTTTTTTTCTACTTTTGATACTTCTCAACATCAGATGAAGATAGATTAATATTTAAAGCCAGAAGATGAAAAGGGAATCAAAATAAACATAATTAATAACATAATTGTAACTAGAAAAACAAATTTAGACCAAGCATGGAGAGTTACTAAAAACAATCCTTGATTATTGGCAGATTTTTTTTTTCCAATAATATATGAAATATGAAAAAAGGAAACAAAATTAAAATAATTACAATAAGGTATTTTAAGAAACAGGTTTGAAAAAATATAAAAATTGCTAATTTTTTTATTGATGTTTAACAATTATTCATCAAAATTCTATATATATATATATATATATATATATAAATGAACTAATGGAGAATCATTAATTTAGGAAAATGAAAACAAAATTAATGAAATTGATAATAAGGTAACTTAGTAAACAAATGAAAAGCAATCATAGTTACTAAAACAATTTCTGATTTTAATAAATGGAGCTTTCAATGATTTATGGAAAGAAAAAAAAAACCATCATAATTTACAATAAAGAAACTAAGTAAACAGTTTGAAGCATAGAAAACTACTAAAAAGTATTTCTTCATAAATATTTTATTTATTAAATATTTATATGTACTAATTGAGATTCACTAATTTATGAAAAATGGAACAAAATTTATGTAATTGTAAGGTAATTTTATAAATAGACACTATACAATATTAATAAATTTTTTTTGATAATTAACACAATTTGTTTAAAAAAAATTAATTCAGTGAGTTTTTAAAACGTCAACGGATGTTGAGGAAGTAAAACACTAAACAGTAGCTCGAAACAACAACAAACCTGTATTTTTCTGACAACCACAGTATTCTGGGGGACACTGCAAACATTTGTAGTTACAGGCGATGTATCATTTATACCACTGGAGCTGTTACATTCTGTTTTATGGCTGACAAAAGATTCAATGGAGAGAAATTGCTTCTTACATTTTCCACACTGGAATAAATCACTATCTTCAAGATGAGCAGCTAATAAAAGGAAAAAAAAAATTAATATGTTTAAATTTAAAAAAATTAAATGCGTTCCAAAATATTATTCAACTTATAACATAACAACTTGACACAAACACGTTGGGCACGGTGCAGCATCAATGAATAATTTACTGGTTGCCCTATTTTGGTGGGCCTCACAACAACGAATGCCTCATATCATTGATTCAATAAGATGGCATTACTTTATTACTTCAAAACTTGATATTTTGAAACAAAAACACAGATCAAAATATTAAATAAAAAAAAGCTAAAACAGCATATCATTCCTTTATGTTGATTGTTGGTATGAGGTACCACTGATAATTATGTTTTGGTTTTGGACCAATGGAACAATGTTGATTTCGAGCCATGATAGTGAAAAATAATAATGGTAGCAAACTAATGGCTTTTGGTGACAATGCTTTAACTCAGAAATTTAAAGAAATTTTAAAGAAGCTGATATCATCAAAAGTATTAAAATTAAAAGAGTGATTTGGCTGCTCATATTGCTGGAATGGATGAAAAAAAATTGTGTGAAGCCTTTCACTAGAAGCAAAAAGAGGAAGGTCAAAATAACGATAATTCAATTAGGTTGATAAAATAAAGATGTCCAGGGGAAACCTTCAACAGACGGTCTTCGCCACCCTGTGCTGTCTTGCCAAAAAGTTAGGAAATTTATTAAAAATTAAAAAAAACTCACATAGAAGACATATATTTTTAAAAGCATTTTCATAAATCTAATCAGTAAGCGCATCCTGATAAAAAACTATTAGCATAATATTTCATTTTTAAATTTTCATCAGAAATGAAGTAAATAAAGCTTGCTAAGTCATTAATGAGTAAAGAGAGTTAAAAATATTCCCATTTTGAGCAGGAAATTTTATTATTCCAACTTTTCCTAATTTTTACCACAAGAAGAAGATATAATCTCTTTCCGTTAAATAATAAAATAAAAACAAGTAAAGAAATAAAAAAAAATTTCTAACATGGAAAAAAGACAAAATGCATTTTTTTCTATGAAGTTTCAGGTAGAGTGGGCCACCTTTCTAAAAACATTTATAAAGTAGTCCACTGTAATTCTTACAATTATTTCACTTTGTGGCGTTTATTAAATTGAAATCATGTTACCAAGTGTAGATAATCAATAGATCTATGCGTAGCCAAATTGTTCAACAAAAAATAAGCACATTTTAAGTACTTTTCAAGCACTAAAAGAATATTTTTAAGCACTATATGCATTGCAAAAAGCAGAGTTGCACATGAGAGTGCAAGAATCTCACAGAATCCAGCTCAGTATGCAGACATGCGGATCCGCAAGTATTTCATCGAACAAGTAAAATTATGGGCGCTTTCACACGCTACAGATTGACGGTAGTTTGAATGCATTGTGAAAACTTTGAATAGAACAATGTGAAAACCACGTTTTTGCATTATACGTTGCGAAATCGACAAAGTATAGAAAAAATCTCATTTTCTAAAAGGGAAAATTTAGCACTTTTTAAAAACACCTAATAAAAAAGCACATTTAAGGGCTTTTTAGAAACGAAAATAAAAATAAGCACCTTAAAGCACTTTTTAAAAATGCTACACACTATTTAGTATATCAATTGAGTAGAATAAAAAAAATATTTGAGATAATACCTGTTTCAGTTTGATTTACCATCTGTTGATCGATCATACTGTGGACAGTAACAACTGCTTGGTTATCGCTGAGTGACATTCCCGTTGCTGAAGGGAAAATAAATGCAAAGTTTAATAAAATCATAAATAACAAAAATAAAGAGAGATTATTAAATGAGCAAATTAAATTACATGATTCACAGGAAGGGGAATCAGACATATTTCACTATGAGATGCACAAACTAAACTGATAGATGAAGTACTGTTTGTTTCCACTCCGCTGCAGAATATTCACAAACTATCTGTGACAAAACTCTCTAGCACTAACATCTTTCTCAGGGTGCATAGCCAAATTGTTGAATTAAAAATAACCTTTTAAGCACTTCAAAAAACTATCATAATTAGACAGGGTTGGAAAGTTTTTGACAATCGACAGTTTTATTTTGTTTGAACGTCATGTCAAAAAAAAAAACTTTTGGCTTTGTTTTTGACAATAGTAAAAAATCATGAAATTTTGAATCATGAAAAACGAATGGCGCTTCCATACGATACGCTACGAACTGACAATACACTGGAAAAAATCGGGGTTGAATTAATTATGAAAACGTTGAATAAAAGAATGTGAACTGCGTCTTTTTGCATAATTCGAAGGGAAAATCAACATAAGGGAAAAACCTCATTTTGAAAATGGAAAAATTAAGCACTTTTTAAAAACAACCATGAAAAAAGTACCTAAAGGGCTTTTAAAAAACGAAAATAAGCACCTTTAAGCACTTTTTAAAAAAGCTACGCACCCTGTCTCTGCAATATACTTTTAATAATAACATACATATATGTTACTAATTTGAAATAACTAAAGTGCTGTGTTAAAAAAAAACAAACTACATATAATTTTTTTAATTTAACATTTAATAATATTTTATTCTAGCATTATAGATGATATTCTCACATTTTGCAAGGGAGAAAAATGCAATAACCATTTCTTTCATCACATTTTGCAAATAATCATCACAATAAAAAAGTAATTAAAAATCTTGAAATCCGTAGCAGTAACTGCAGGAAGAAAGATCGAAGACGAATTTGGACTCCTCAAAGAGAGGTTACTCAAATGCGAAATTTGTTTACAGATTAGGTTGTTGCAGGGCTCGAAAAAACTATGAAATTTTACCCGTCCCCGAGGACGGCTTACCCAACAATGTACCCGTCCTTCTTTGAAACTAACCCGTCACTTCTAAATAAATAAAAATATAATTTTCTCTTATTTATTACAAACATTTATATAAATTGCACAATGAATTAGTAGTTACTAGGATTACAAAACTAGGATTACATTATACAGTAATACGCATTACATTGTATAGTATATATTAGGTTACTAATAGTAACTTATTATTTCTTTTATGAAATAATTTAAATGACAAAGGTCAAGTTATCTGGAAAGTCAATTTATCCGAGGGTACTGCGTTTATTAATCCCTTAACTGCCGCGGGCGTACATATACGTCTCGGCCAGGCGATGCATTAACTGCCGCAGGGGTATATATACGCTTTCCCGAAGTACGATGCTTTGCATTGCGCTGCTATAAATAGAACTACACCCTCTACTTCAGAATGCAGTAAAATGGCCTTGAAAGTGTTTGCTTTACGAATGTATTACTAATTTCGGAGGAGGGGGAATGGGAAAAGGATGTTATGGAAAAGTGATATAGTATTAATTGCTTGTGTGTATTTATTTAAGTAAGGTCGGGTTTATTCTTTTTACGCTTTTGTTTCCCGTATGTATTTGGTGCTTTTTATGCATTCCATCAAAGAAAAATGCATCGCGAAAATGTGCTGTTCGTTCAAGAAAAAAAATTCTTCGTGAATCCCGCTATCAGTTCGATGAATGTGATGTTGGTTTATGTGTCCAACCATGTTTCAGGATTTATCATACAACAGCTAAGTTTTAACATCTTTTATATTGTATTTTTTATTATTTAATTTAAATTTTGTATTTTCCTTCTTTCCTATTTCTTGTCTTGTAAAATTAAACTGTTTTTAAATTGCAAAGCGTGCATCATTTTCCCCACTGCACTTGAGCGAAAAACGGTGGCACTGGGGAGTGAATCATGTTAATTTTACTCTGCTGTTAAGGGGTTAAATGAATCAAATATGATGTTTGCCAGTTCCACAAACAAGCCAATGATTTATTGAGGTTTCTGCAGAGAAATCTGAAAGGGGTTTTCCATTTTGGTAGATGCTCATAATTGCGTTTATAACACTACTTGTTTAAGGTACGTAATGTGTTTTTTTGTAAGCTCATTGCAGTAAAGCCCCTTTCAACCACTGCAGTACTCCCAGACAGAGAAAACATCATTTCTTCCATACGCAGTATGTTGTTGTATATCTAGATTAGAGGGCCATTTTCGAAGTGAGGAGCTAGACTTTTGTAGGGTAACAAAAATTGAGAATGTATCACGAACATTAACGGGAAAATGGCCGTCCGCGCGGATGTCGGATTCGAGAAATTCGTTGTCCGCGGGGATTTTGCGACCACCGAGGATGGGTGGTTTTTCAAGCCCTGGGTTTTTGTAATAAATAATATATCATAAAAAAAATTTAAAAGCTATGGAGATATCAATTGCATTAACTGCTAAAAATTCAATAGAATTATTGCCTTAAAATGTAAATACTCAAATGCACGATTGGAAATTTCCATATTGTTTGAAACATAGCGCGATATTTAAAAACCATGTGAAAATCAATATCAATAACTGCTGAAAATACAATCAAAACATTACATCGATTTACGATACTATCGGTTTAAATTTAGCACGCCAATAAGTGATGATCCAAACGTATAATTGAAATTACCTGCAAATACCTGTCTAAAAGAAAAGTAAATTTTTTTGCTTTTCAAAAGAAAAATCTTTCTGCAAGAACACTGTACCATTCTTGGACATTGTGGCTTTGTCTCTGCAATTCTGGCCAGGCGCTACTCACAATACCATTTTAACGCTTGCTAGAATGTCCAATCTGTACCTTCATTCCAACATAGTGATCAAAGTTTTGCTCAATTATATTTTTAATTCATAGAAAATCCCTACCGAAGTAGAAGTTAAAACACTTCGGTGCTTAAATATCGATATCTTTTCATTGAATTACTAGGAACAGTCAGGAAGAAGTGATTCCGCTTATGAGAAGATTTCTGTTTTGAAGATATTTCCGTGTCGGTATCTACCATAAAATAATTGCCAATAAATTAAAAGAACATCACATAGAAGGAGACTAACTAGGAGGGCATAAATCGTAGCCACACGGAGCAAATATCTATATGTTTTTATTTAAAAACCATTGCGAGTTTAAAATTAATTTGGCGACTGTAGATGCCGAGCACAGAGACCGATACAGAAATATCCCCAGACTATTTTCTTGAGACCAATGAACTAGAAAACATTTGTTTCAGAAAAATAGTTAAAGTAGCAAAATAATATTTTTTTAAGCATCTAATGAGTTTCGAAGAATATCACAAATATGCATTGCATTACAAAGGAACTATAATAAAAGCTTATATCTCAGAAAAATTTATAAAGTAACGCTATTATGATAAAACAGTGTAAAAGCTAATCGGATTGGCGAATCAATTTTGTGAACTTCTAAAAATACTCTAAATTATGAACTACAATCAAAGCAAGACTTTAAGTAAAATATTGATATTCAAAATAGAAATTATCTTCCAATAAATACTTCTGATGAAGTATATTTGGACGAAAAAACTTTTAAAATAAGTTTAACTTACTAGGGCAAGAACTCAACAAGAGCTGCGCCATCTTGTTTGTTTATTATTGTTTGATTATCATATGCTGAGTTGAGTTGTGCGTATGAAAGCAGAAAGTGAAAGTAAAAAGTCAGTTTTAGCCAAGTCGTAAAGATCTCTCTTAAGCATGGCTAAATAGGTTATTCTCGCTGCAGTATGTTAAAGCGCTGACTGTTGGCACTCTGTTTACATAAGTCCTCTAAAGACTGCCTCTTTGGATTGAATATAGTTTTAATTTCAACCAATAGTGGCCCTTCTACAGCAGAAAAAATGAGAGCGTCCGGAGAGCAACCCAGATAAGGATACATAGGATTCACAACCAAACCAACTCTTCTCACATTCTGGTTCAAATACAAATTTCGAATTTTGTTTCTGACGACAGGCTCCATTTTCTGACCCTATTGCACTGCAGGAAGCTTGGAAATATCAGGTGGTGACGAAATTCGCTTCGCCAATACGTTCATATCTTTAGTATATTTTAGGATTTTATAAAAACTAGATGCAGTTATCCTATACTGCCGTTCTTTTATCCATAGAGGATGGTCAGATTGACCGACAGTGTTTTTTTCTAACTCGTAACAATCAGTCACTTCATAATAAAGATTTGAATTGATAAATGTTATTTCATCGAAACTCAATTCATCCACAAATTTACTTTTATCGTTACCTGCAAAAGGTACAGCTGGCAAAGGGATAGTTTCATTTAAGAAATGACTGTTCTCTACGACATGAAAAATTGAAAAATTTGGAGGAAGTGCCTTCAGTGAAGAAAAATTTACCTCTTTGCTCACACTTTGACAATTTTTAACACTAAAGACAGTTTCAGCCTTTTTTGGGGAGAACTTTTTCTTAGAAGGTAGATGCCATCTCTGAAGTTTTTCAGTTGGAGCTGAAAACATCTCTTTCTTGCTGTAATCCTCAAGCAAGGCCGCTAAAGCAAAGAAATGCCGTCAAATCGCAGGATTCGCACCAACGGGACACTCACAAGTTCCGCTCACAATCTGAAATAAATATATATATCCTAAATATCAAGACATTAACAAAAATAACAAGCACAGCTTAAAAGAAGCATAAAGGATATTATCATTGAATAGAACAAGAGGGGGCAGATATATGAAAAACAAATAATCAATAGCAAAGTGTAGTATTAAATTATATATAACGCTGCATATCCTAAACGTTGTTTACCTTAGTTTGTATTTTAGCACAAAGGTCTCCCACTTGTGTATTTATGGATGGTGTTTTCAGTAGAAATGCAAACAATAACAATCTCGAGCTCGGCACCTACTCTAGTTCCGGTTAAAAAGTTTGCAGCTGCTTACTACACGTTATTCTGATAGGCGATGTTTTCAAACGGATAATTTTGTTTTCAATAAAAGAAATAAATTAGATAAGTTCTGAGCTCAAATCTGCCGTATTTCATAAGATACTAATGTTATTATGTAATTCTGGGGAGTTTGGAGTGAAAATTTAATTTAGTTATTTTGTTATTTATTATTAAAAAAGGTGACATGGTTGCTAGATTTTGAATAACTCGCTTTTTTGCCAGTCTTGATTTAGCCTCTTTCCATATGTTTATTGCTGTTTGTTCTTGTTGCAAGCAGTGCACCATCTTACGTTAGTGTTAACACTTTTAGCATTGTAAACACAAGTATTGTAAGTATTGTTAGCATTGTAAACACAAGTAATAAGTAATAAAATACATTGTTTGCAACAATCTCAAAACACAACGATGCCAAATGGCTTTAAATTACAACGGAAACAGTAACCCGGAAATTTGGGGGGTACCGAGCTTGCAGCGTTACCTAGTGTAGAAAACACCATTCATACTTTCTTAATACTAATATATTTTCTATGCTTTTGAAATTGTAATAATACAGATTATTTGCAGAAAAATGGAAAACACTGCTGATCGATCAGAAAAATTGTAGCATATTTATAAAAAGCAAATTTTTTTAAGAATAAATTTATAGTTATAATGTGATAATGATAAGATTTTCGTATACTAACATTCAATCTTTCTTAGCATTCACAATGGGTGAAATTTAAACACGTTAATTCGGAAAGTTGAGTATTTAATTTGTGACAAAAAATCGATTGTTTCTGAATATATAAAAATCCAAGTTAAGCAACACCGGAAAGATTCATAGATTATGTCTCATTTCGAAAAAATTACGCAACTCCTAGTTATTACACATAGTCTAGGACTAAAATCAAAGTTTCATTCTTCTGTAACAGAGATCAGAAGTGTAGGAAACAAATTCATAGAGAATGGTCCTTTAGTTTCAGAATTGCAAGTACTTCTATATGTAATATGTCAAAAGGGGTTAGGAAGTATGATGAAGAGTGGCACCTTGTGACGAAAGAGATCAGATATATTGAAAAAATGCGTGGCAAGATTTTTTCTTCCAAGGGATACAGATTTATGTAAAGTAACATTTTATTTACATCGCAATAGAGCTGCACAAATAGGCTATTGACGACGGTCTAAAAAGAAACACCTCAGATGATGATCCGAATACGTACCTACCATTACGATTTTGATCCTTTGCAGAGGAGATGGCTTCCCCACTTTAATTGCCCAAGGATACATTTTACGACTGAACACTTAAACGATATTCCACACCACATCCTATTCTGTCCAACTGCCTGATCAAAATAGTTATTCATCCGCTCACTGACTCAGGCCAATGATGCTTAATTTCAGTGTTCTACTTGGGACAGAGTTTATATCATTAATTCAGTCTGGCTGTTTCAGTAAATCAGTACTGCGTGTATTTAAATAAATCATGATGGCTCAAGGGATAGAGCGTTTGCTTTCCAATGAGGTGAACCAGGTTCTAATCCCAGCAATGGCTGGTCAATACGAATTCTGCCTCAAGCTTGCATCCACCACAGTGCTGACGTAGAAAATGGCGCGAGTAAGGTTCAAATTTCGGGACCCACCCTAATTCACCTAATCACTTATTCAGCTCCCCCTAATTCACCTATAAAAATTTCCTCGTACAGTATTGTTTGGACCATGGACCCCTACTTAGGGTTCGAGTTTGAAAAATGTAATTTTATATTGAAAGGATTTAGACGGCTTCCAAATTCGACCCGCACCCTACCTTTATATTCTATTTTTTATTTTTTTATTATTATTCCATTATGTGTTGTTTAACAAAGAAAGATGCACGATTTTAATCATAGAACACCTTACGCATGATAAACTTTCAAATATATTGTAAAAACAATTTAAAACAAATGAAAAAACCCAGTTTCCTGGATTTTTACTGTCTTCACCCAGTATTTGAAATTTTCCCATTTTAAAAAATTTATTTCCTACGTGTAGGACCCCCTAAAATAAAGAAAAATACACAATAAAAAAATAATATAATGCAAAATAAGCAAAAGAAAAAAAGAAGAAAATTTTTGAAAAGTTACCGCAGCAGGGACTCGAACCTGCGACCTCTCATCCCAGCCATTAGTTAATAGTCCAGTGTCTTGACCACCAGACCACTTGCACATGGGAAGCCCGCCACAATTTCACTTCAAAATCCCTCTAGCGGTCAGCTATGCAATTGACCTTTGGAAACCCCCCCTTCTCCCCCTAATTCACCTATAAAAATATCCTCGAACAGTATTGTTAGGACCATGTACCCCTACTTAGGGTCCGAGTTTGAAAATTATAACTTTATGTTAAAAGGATTTAGACGGCTTCCAAATTCGAACCACATCCGACCTTTTAGGTCTATTTTTTATTTTTTTATTATTATTCCATTATGTGTTGTTCAACAAAGAAAGATGCACGATTTTAATCATAGAACACCTTACGCATGATAAACTGTCAAATATATTGTAAAAATAATTTAAAACAATGGAAAAAACCCAATTTTTATGGATTTTTCTAGTTTTCACCCATTATTAGAAATTTTACCAATTTAAAACAATTTTTTCGTACGTGTAGGACCCCCTAAAATAAAGAAAAATACGCAATAAAAATAATATAATGCAAAATAAGCAAAAGAAAAAAAAAAGAAAATTTTTTAAAAGTTACAGCAGCAGGGACTCGAACCTGCGACCTCTCATCCCAGCCATTAGTTAATAGTCCAGTGTCTTGACCACCAGACAACTTGCACATGGCAAGCCCGCCACAATTTCACTTCAAAAGCCCTCTAACGGTCAGCTATGCAATTGACCTTTGGAGACCCTCCCTGCTCCCCCTAATTCACCTATAAACATTTCCTCATACAGTATTGTTAGGACCATGTACCCCTACTTAGGGTCCAAGTTTGAAAATTATAACTTAATATTAAAAGGAGTTAGACGACTTCGAAATTCGAAACGCACCTTACCTTTTTATTTTATTTTTTATTTTTTTATTGTTATTATATTATGTATTTGATAACAAAGAAAGATGCACGATTTTACTCTGAGAAGACCTTACGCATGATAAACTGTCCAATATGTTGTAAAAATAATTTAAAACAATGGAAAAAACCCAATTTTTATGGATTTTTCTAGTTTTTACCCATTCTTAGAAATTTTCCCAATTTAAAAATTTTTTTTTCCTACGTGTAGGACGCCCTTAAAATACTGAAAAACACAATAAAAAAATAATATAATGCAAAATAAACGAAACAAGAAAAAAAAGAAACTTTTTTGAAAAGTTGTAGCAGCAGGGATTCGAACCTGCAGCCTCTCATCCCAGCCGTGAGATAATAGTCCAGTGTCTTGACCACCAGACCACTTAAACATGTGAAGCCCCCCACAATATCACTTCAAAAGCCCTCTAGCGGTCAGCTATGCAATTGACCTTTGAAGACCCCCCCTGCTCCCCCTAATTCATCTATAAAAATTTCCTCGTATAGTATTGTTAGGACCATGTACCCCTACTTAGGGTCCGAGTTTGAAAATTATAACTTAATATTAAAAGGAGTTAGACGGCTTCGAAATTCGAAACGCACCTTCCCTTTTTATTTTATTTTTTATTTTTTTATTATTATTATATTATGTGTTGTTTAACAAAGAAAGATGCACAACTTTAATCATAGAACACCTTACGCATGATAATCTGTCAAATATATTGTAAAAATAATTGAAAACAATGGAAAAAACCCAATTTTCCTG